GTAGTAGTGGTAGTAGTGGTAGTAGTGGTAGTAGTGGTAGTAGTGGTAGTAGTGGTAGTAGTAGTAGTAGTAAGTAGTAAGTAGTAAGTAGTAAGTAGTAGGTAGTAGGTAAGAGGTAGTTGGTAGTAGGTAGTAGGTAGTAGCAGTAGTAGTAGTAGCAGCAGCAGTAGTAGTAGTAGTCGACGGCAGGTATATTTACATGGGAATGGCTCATTGACCTGAGCAGGAATTCTGATCTTTTTCCACGCACGGTCATCATAAGTCTCGATGATAACAAAGGATGTACGAAGCTGTCGGGGCGCAAAATAGGTCTTCAAGCCTCTTCGACCCGATATAATGTCCGGTGTAACCCTGGGAAAACCAGAAGCCCTGAAAGACCTATATAATGTCCGCAAGGCGGAGTGAGCTAGTAATTTTTTGGACGAAATAACTTCGGGAGCACGACTGACACTTAAGAGAATCAGCTGGCGTAGCAAGCAAAGGGCATTAGGAGAAGTAGGGCGCTGGGCAATAAAATAGAGCGTGGTGGACCTTTACAAAAATGCCGTTCTCGTGGGAGTTTGGAGGACAGGTCCGCGCTTGGATGTTGCTGTGTGCAGTTGGTTGTGTCTGGGCGTTCTTGATATTTGTTTCTCTAACTTTCAGCGGTCTTTGTCGGGGTTGGCTTGCAACTCACTGGCTGACTTGAGTAAGCGATCTCGGCAGCACGCGCCGCCACTGCCTACTGAATTATGACGACGCCAATGCACACACCTCACTCGCGCGCTCAAAAAATAACTCCCTTGCCCGCTCTGGCGCCTGCCTCCTTTGTGAGCCACAGGCGTGCTACCTTAGCGAGTGGCTCCTTCCTCCTCTAAATTTGGTTCTCGGGCGGCTCACAAAAGGACTGACGCCTTCCTCCTCCAAGTTTTGCCCTCGGAAGGCTTACCTTGGAATGGCCGCTTCCCTCCTCCAGGTGGCTCACAAAAAGGTCTGCTACCTTCGAATGGCTCCTAGCTCTCACCTGAATATTGCCTATAATGCGTCCTGCAAGCAGTTCATGTAAGCACTGCTCTACTTCAATGTCTACTTCAATTTATTTCGCTCTTTGTGTCTTTCGTTCTTTCTTTCTTGCTTTCTTTCTTTCTGTATTTCTTTCTTTCTTTCTGTCTTTCTTTCTTTTTTTTCTTTCCTTCCTTCCTTCCTTCTCTCTTTCTTTCTTTCTGTATTTCTGTATTTCTTTCTTTCTTTTCTCTCTTCTCTATTGCTTCTTTTTATCCCTGCTTGTTGTTGTCTTGATCTCTACTTATTTTTTTATTGATCCCTATTTGTTTTGTTATTGATCCCTCCCTAAGAATCGGGAACGTCAGGGGGACGTCGGAGGTAGGTGGGGACGTCGCAAAAATCTGGCGAGGTCCCAGTCTGGGGCGGACCCTCGGCGAACCCTCAGATTGGACCTCTGACAGTGCCTTTGGATGTATAGCCTGGGCTCAAAGAGTCAACATCAGTCAACAGATCCCACACGTCCCTAACTCACCCTGCACAGACACATAAAACACTTGTTTTTTCCACATGAACGCTCAAGACTTCAAGTTCTGCAGCTCCAAATAGACCAGTGCAAGATAGCGTTGCAACGTCCGCTGGCTGACCGTCAACCTGTGACAAACACGGGCTATACGGGCCACACGCCCAACAAAATCTTCTCCGGCAAACAGTGCCCAGGCTCGAGGATTCACTCTCTCAGTGAGCACTCGATGGGCTGCATGGAAAAGGTGGTGGTGCTTTGGCATTATGAGCCACATGTTTCGGCCAACAGCTTTTCCAACCAAGAGTCGGGATCTCTTGTTGAGTAGTGCATGAGTCTGCAAGTGCCTCATCATGAGGTTGTAGAACCTCGTGGCGCGCTCCTCGCTCATCAACAGCTCTGTCTCATCCATGAGGAGCAAGGCCAGGGCATAGCTGTGAACAGTTGTGCATACAAGTTGGTCTTGCTCCGTGGCATCGGCCCGTGCAGCAAACTCACATGTTCTCTCCGCCAACCACATTGTGCAAGCCTTTGAAGCTGCCGCCTTGTTGTTTAGCGCTGGATACTGCTGCCGGTTTTTACGCCCACAACGAGCTGGCGTAAATCTCGATTGAGAAGTCTGAATCTTCCGCACTTTTTTCCAAAAAATAAAGTCTCGGTGCGCAGCTCTCAAACAGGTCTCCAAACAATCATCGTATTTCCCTGCTCCGCGGCCAGTTGGGAAAGCGCCCCAGTAGCCAGATTCAGCAAGGTATATCAATGCACTGCCGTTGCAGACCTTGCCAGTCCCCAAAAGTTGACTGTGCATACAGTCATGCAGTACACGGTCCCGTGTGGCAAGCTCAAAGATGCAAGGGTCCATAGCATAGAACTCATCCAAGTTTGGCTCTGTTCCAACATGAGAAGCTCCTGGCCTGAAATCTGCAATGGTCATACTCAAGTCATCAGCTGTCTTCAAGGCACCGCATGTGCTACAACATGCATTGGCTCTAAAATTGTGCAGCCCGTACTTCTCGTGGACCCATTTCAAGTCCCCTTGCAATGACGAGAACATGTAGCAGTAGCCTTTGTCGCTCCATCCAAACAAATGCTCCTTCGAACACATGGCCTTCAAGCGGTCTGTGAGACACCGCACTATATCTTCATGTGTGTTTTCCTTGGGTTGAGAAGTCACATGCCCATAGCAAAAACACTCAAACACACCACCAGCATAGGCGGCATAGGTGACAAATACAAAAGCAACATAACAAAAACTGCACATCAAAAACAGCAAAGTGTCCGTGCTGCAGTGTTCCGAATACACACAGATCGGCCAATATCGAAGGCAAGACTTGTTGAGATAACCAAAATCACTTGTCCAGGCAATGATGGAAACTGCACCTATATCGGAATTCCTATAGGTGTTGACATCGTCGCCGTATAGTGAAAGTGGTATCAGTTTATCCTTGCATTCGTACGAGAACATGCTGTGGTTCTTGAACCAATCGCAGTGCGTGGCACAGTGACTCCAAAACTTAGTAGCATCAACATCGCCAAACATGCACTTGCGAAAAATGTCTTCGCCCTGTGCGTAAATAGCTTCTGCAAGGTCATCGGGGTAGAGGATCGACAGCCACTGCCATTCCTCCCGGCCAGCAGCATGGTTGTACATCCTAGCAGTCAACTCTGTGTTAGAGCTACGCAAAAAACGGACTGGGAACAGCACTACCCAACCTGATTTGTGACCACACAGTCTGTTGACAACGTTGTGTGGTTGTGTGAGGTGCGTTGCAAGCCAACCTCCCAAAAATAAGATGTTGGCCATGTCAAGTAGTACTATATACATGTTACATGTTTGAATCACACTGAAGTCCTGACTCGAATATCCGAAATTTTGGCATGGAGCCGGAGACCAAATGTATTCAGCATCGTATGCATGTCCCGCTCACAATTGGCCAGATACTTGCCATGACTTCCAAGCCCAGCAATCCGACGCACCACATCAGAGGGCTCCACGCGTCCCCCAGCGTTTTCACACCACTTCAAAGCAGATGCCGCTGTTTTTTGTACCTTGTGGAGCAGGTTGTCTCTTCTAATCATGGCAGGTATAAGGTGTTTTCCACCAAAAAAAAGGATATGGTATAGCCAAAAGGCATCCGTCCAAAACAAAAGCTTGTGAAGGGCCATTGGAAACAAACCCCTGTTCTGCAGGTAGGCTGCTTCAGCACCACTAGATCGTCCAGTTGCAAAATTGTTCACGAGCAAATCCGAAAATTCAGGAATAGAAGGGGTATTCTTTTCTGCAGCCTCTTTGGCAGCTATGACGTGCTTCGCATTGAATGGCGGCAGCTTTGGCCGGGATGGTTGGGACTCCTGGATGCGCATGACTCCGGGATGGGATGGATAGACTTCGGAGGGTCAACAATCTTTGAGACTATGTGAATGTTGCAATCAATAAAAGAAACAAGTTGCAACATAGTTGTCTCCTTAGCCCTAGCATTGTGCACTTGAGCTCGCTTGTCGAAACCATGTCCTGCAAACACAACTTTCCATACAGGTCCATCATGGTCCAACACACTTTAAACTGCTAGATCCACAATTTGGTACAGTCAGATGGGAACTCGTTTTCTTTTCCGCTCGTCCCCTAAAGATCCCATGAGCGTGTTCCATTCACGCTCAACCCCAATCAACCTCTGGTTGAAGCAGAAACATTCGAAACATTGCATCACTTCTCAAGCTTTGAGGAAAACTTGAGCATACCGTACCTTGAAACGCTACATGCAGGCCTTTTCTTTGGGCATACGAAACCCAAAGGCCATTCAGGGCAAATCACTTTGGCTGTGACTTGCCACGAACACGGCGAGCAGGTGCCACCTTCGCCTGCGAGCACGGGTCCGGTCTCCCAAACAACAGCAGCCGGGGCTATTGCTCAGAAATCAGGTTTTTGTGAAGGGGTGGTTGTTTGATAATATGCATGTGTTGGTGTTGACACTGCACAAGTGGGTAGAAGAACGAGTCATGGTGGGGGCTTATCAAAAGCAAATATGCAATCCCGTCTTGATATCAACTCTAAGTAAGCAGGCCTTCGCTTTGGATTTTGCCTTCGGCTTTGGGGCTGCATTCTTCTTAGTGATACCGCTTGCCGTCTCCTTGTCCTGGGGACGATCTCGGAATCCAAACTGCCCCAAAACTAGTAGCACTCAATGGAAGCAACGCAATAGGTTGATATGGGTATGACTATGGGGTTTGCCAAGCAATATCTTGATGGGGTTGATTGAAAGCTTCAAGCACCAAACCCTCCTCCGTATACATTGCCATCCGCTGCAATGCCAAGTCATTTGCAGCTTGCAGATGCTCCATGTTCACCGTCACAGGGTCCTGCAACGGTAACCGCTGACTTAGGCTTCGAAGATGGCTTGGATCACAGTTCGTTTTCACTGCTCTGGCCTTGGGTGTTTCGGTGTACCATGCAGTGTACCATCAACAATGAAAAGGGTCCTTGACGGCATAGTTTTGAAGCTGGAAGTAAGATTTCTCCAGTTCTTCAGCATGTGCCATCATTTGTTTGCCTTATATATGCACACAGTGTTCATGCAACACTAACATGAAAGAGTATAGCCAATCGTATCCACACACGTTCAGCAATTGGTAATTAGCTAAAGGACTGAGAGCGTCTTGGTGCTTGATGTTCCTAAGCTTTACAGGCCACATCTTTGCCTCTTGGAGCTGCAATGTGATCTTTGGTAGGATCCACATAGCTTGAGGGAGCACCTCCTCAGGCATCTCATTCCTTAAAGCACACATATATACATAGTATGTGCAACCACACGCAATAATGTATATGCATTTTGCAATGCACACATGCTGCTCAAGTATTGTTTGACAAACTGAGTTTCTTCTTGCGTTTCCTCGGCTGGTCATCGGTCTCACGGTTCCCGGGTTCGGCGTTCTCGACAGACTCTTCTACTTCTCGTGCATCGCGACCAGCAATCTGTGCCTCCACTGCTTGCAGGGCAGCGATGGGGCTCTCAGGGACAAGGTCCGAAGAACTTCCAGGGCAGTTGCTCGTATTCCGACTCTTGAGCTGCATAATTCGCGGCATCGTCGAGGTGTTGTGCAACAGATGCGCAGTGAGATCAGGATTTCCAAGCTGCTGGGCCGCCTCGTGCACAGTGTACTTATATCATTGCAAACAGAATCAGCTAGTGCTGTATATTCCTATAGACGACATCAGCTCAAGAACCTGGTGTGTGCCCATGTGTGTGTGTGCATAACTGCAATGCACCGGCCTCACTGCCCATGTTGGCTGACATGTCCATCGATGCCTCAATCCTCTCTGCTGTCTCATCCTCATGGACTGTATCAATGTCCACCATGACATAGTAGAGGATGGCTGCATCATCGTCCGGACAGTCAGGATGTTCCTTGTACTCATTCATTGACAGTTTCCTGTCTATGATTTGCTCCACGATGTTCTTGTTTCCGTTGTAAAGAGCCATGAGCTGGTCACGTGTGCGCCAACCTGGGCATACGTGCATTCGTGCGCAACAAAAGCATGTGTGTGTGATGGGAAGACATTCACATGCTGCTCAAATATTGTCTTGTTTAACAAACTGAGTGTCTTCTTGTGTTTCCTTGGCTTGTCATCGTTTGCATTGCCCGGATCGGCGAGATTGATCTTGAGGCCGTCACCATACCTGCGCTTGCCGGTTTGCCGTTCAGTCCGGCTCCGAGTCTGCCGGATTCGCAGCCTTAGGGCGCCCCAGAAATGATTTAACAAACGCGTGGGAGTCTTAAGTGTGTCAACCCCCAAAGGGTCTACATGCTAGCTAAGTAGCTGCCCCCAGTTCTTTCCAGACTTGAGAAAAGCATTGAACAAATGAGTCTTTGCATGCTTGCTCTTGGATTGCACTGCAGCTTTCCAAGCTTGCACAATGTCATCAGGAATCCCGAACTCACCTTCCGGGTCATCTGAATTCAATTGCCTGCGTGGACAAAATACTCACAAGAGTTACATTATATATATCGTAAAGTTGGGTTGGGAACTGTTGAACTGTTGCTGCTCTCACGCCTCTTCATTTTGGCATAGTGCTTCTGGCGATCGTTGTAGTCTTCAGGAATCACAGGCGCAGCCTGAGATACCATGACCATGTCAACCCGTCTATGTGGAAGTAGAAGTTCAATTTGTTTGGTTCATTCACGCATGCAGCTAAAAAACGTTCCCACCAACTACAATGTTCATGGCTGGTGGGGCGGTGCCAACATTCTTGGAAGTCTTTGAAGCCGTGTGAGGGTTTGCAGGCTCCTTAGCAATGACAGGCTCCTTAAAGCTGACTTTGGGTGCACGAAGGATGGACTTTGGCACAGCCTCAGGCTTTGGAGGAGCGGCTGCAACCGGTGGAGCTGCTTGTGGATCCTTTGGTGCAGGAGCGGGAGCAGCCTGTGCTGTCTTGAGCTCCTCTTGATGCAACCAGAAGGAAAAAGCCACCAGTTCTTCCATGTCATCATAGTCACCAAAAACATATTCTTTCAGCTCTTCACCAGTCAAGCCCAAGCTGTTTTTGATGTAGCTTCCCAATAATGGACTACCCCGGGCATCTCTCATGGCCTTTTTGAACTCTTTGTCATCCATCTTCATGATCCGTGATCGAATCATGGCTTCTGCCTTGAGTTCTTCTTCGGACACCATGCTGGCTGGCGGTGGGGTAGGTGCATTCAAGGGAGGGCTGCCAGATTCAGCCTGGTGACACGGCTCCTGATGTTGCTGGTGATCTTCATTCTGCACTGGTTCAGGTGCCGTTGCACTGGTCAAAAGCTTTTCAATTTCTCCTTGGAACTGGTGCTCATCAAAGTCTGGCAGAGTGGGTGCCACTTGTTGTGATTCATCATCAGTCAAGTCCAAGTCGATGACGACACTTGGCTGTGCCAGCACTGGTCTCGGAGGTGGCTGCTGTGCTTCAACTGTACTGATGTTTGCTGGAGACCTAGGAGTTGCTGGAAGGTTATGGCTCGGGTGCACTTGGTTTGCCTCGCTAGGTGGTGGCATTGGGCTTGGTGTGACTGCAGCTGGCAGCACTGGGTTTGCCTTGCCCGGTGATGCCTCTGGGTGTCGTTCGGCTACAGCGTGCTTCACCGTTGCCACTGGAAAGGTCTCACTTGGAGGCAATGGCGTTGCCTTGCTTGGTGATGGCTCTGGGCTTGGTGTGGCTGCACCTGGTGGCCCTGGGTTTGCCTTGCTAGGTGGTGCCGTTGGCCCTGGTTGAACAACAGTGTGCTTCACCGTTGCCACTGGAAAGGTCTCACTTGGAGGCAATGGCTTTGCCTGGCTTGGTGATGGCTGTGGCCCCGGGTTTGCCTTGCTAGGTGGTGCCGTTGGGCTTGGTTCAACCATAGTGTGCTTTGCCTGTGCCGTGGAGCCCTCACTCTTGCAAGGTGCTTTGGGTAGTGAGGCTGGTGGCTTGGGAGGCGGTGCCTTGACATTGCCAAAAGCTTGACTGGCAACATGAACTGGTGTAATGGGGGTTGCTTTTGGCGGGGGTGCACATGGTGCCATGGCCCGAGGAGGCACTGCGCTTGGGGTTGCTCGTTCGGGATCCATCTTGGCTGATGGCTTTGGCGCAGAGACTTCACGAAGCCTTGCAGCAAGGCATGCGGCCACAGGCGGTTGAAGTTCTGTCTTCACTGCCACATGCGGGCAAGCTTTGGCTGGTTGTTTGGGAGGGGTAGGTGTAAACACCGGCGTGAAAGCACACTTGCTTTCCGGGGTGCGGAGCACGGGCGCCCCCCCCCCCTTGACTGCCGAACTCTTCGCAGGAGACGATGGCTTTGCCTTCTTCCAGGCCTGGCTGGGCAGGATCAGCTCCCGTTTGATTCCACTCATGTCAGCATCGGACATTGCAAACACCGATGGTGCACTGTATGGAGTCCCCGCATCAGCTGAGACAGACCTCATTTTTGATTGCACGTGGATGTGCGACAGTAAAGTTCTATATATCGCACATATATGAATGATTTCTACAGTGACCTTGCAAGGGTTGTCATGGTACGTAACTGCATCCAGCCACATAAAAGACATCTGCGAGTCATCAGCTGGGTTCACATCCAGGTTGTTTGGCCATGTGATTGGAGTCACCTGCACAGGTTTATCGCTGGCCGTCTTTGGTAAACAAGTTGCCCTGGGCCTCAGTCAGCTGGGAGTCTGTCGCGGGCACTGTATCCTCCCAAGAGATTGAAGCCTGCGTGCAAAACAAAACCCAAGTTTGAGAGGACATCCCTTTTGAATACAACTCCAGCATTGGTTCACGATTACTTTTAAATGTTCTATAGATCGACGATGCAAGCCTCAGAAGGTGTAGACAGCACCGGCGAACCATAAGAGCATTTGGCTGGAGGTGTTTGAAGAAGGCCACTGCCGCTGGGCAAGTTCACGGCCTACATGCATTGTGTGTGGGGCACCCCCAAACATGCACCATGGATGGCCGTTATAGAACCGTTTGTTTTTCTTGCAGTGATAGGTGGCCTCTTTTGCACCAGGGTGTCGGCCAAAAAATTCTTGTATTTCCGGAGCACTGGCTTGGGTATAGTGGATCTCCTGCCATATGTCATTATATGCATATATATACCATACCTGTTTGCACCAGAAGCTGCACTGAAGGACCCAAAAACAACTAACCACAAGCTCCTGTCTGCGAGCCTGATGCATCCGACCAGACATCCAGGCTGTAGGGCGTTATCACAAAGCCAACCGGTATGCAAGGGAAGCCCAAATGGCTTCAAGTGTACTCGAACATTCGAAAACGTTCGAAAAAGCTATCCGACGCAGTGGACCCTCGGCTAAAAGGCGTTTCGAGGTCCCCACGCGATCCATCCGACGCCAACCGACGGTAGCCGACGCACACCTATATATACCTATCCGACGCTATCCGACGCAGTGGACCCTCGGCTAAAAGGCGTTGCGAGGTCCCCCCACGATCCATCCGACGCCAACCGACGGTAGCCGACGGAGCCTAGAAAACCAGATTTCACAGATTCCGAAGCCTACAATACTACAATCCAACAATGCCTGGGGATCGACCTCTAGCTTTCATAGATTAAAGCCTTATCCAAACCGTGACGTGTGTGTGTGTGTGGATGCAACATGTGCTGAAGCAATACACCAATGGTTTACGGAAGAACTTTTGACTGATGGTGCAGCTTGCATCATCCCCACAGCGTGTCCAAAAGAAACACGTCATGCTCCATGGCATGTGGCATTAAGCACAAATTAGCGATGCCCTTCAGGCATCAGGAGTCATCCATATGTTGGATTCATGACCCCAAATCTCCAATGTTAAGCCTGCGCCTTGAGGCCCGGCCCTGCAGACGGCTTTCCAACCAATCCTCTACGGCATCTAGCTCAGCATCTGTCCAGAGGTCCTCATAGTCGAGGAACTGCGTGTGATCGGGCTCTTGCAAAGCATAGGTGTTCCAGGCATGATAAACCTTGGATCGAGCGTGGTCGGCTGGTATGAGATATATATGGTTTGTTATGGAGTACTGCAAATTGAGCATTTGCTGAATAGGAGCTGAATGGCCAAATTTTTTGGGATATGTTTGGCTAGCCTTCAAGGTTTTGGAACCTCGAAATTTGAGTTCTCCTCGTTTGTTACGGTAGCGAATAGTCGTGTCACTCTTCGGGAAGTTTGCTCTTTGGAGCTTCCTGCATGCAATGGAATTCCCAACCATTGCCATTGTACATGTCTAATGTAGCAAAGAACTGAACAACTGAACTCATGCACACTAGGGTGATAAGTTCCACTAGCCAGAAAACATGTCCTGTAAAGACGAGCAATCCATGCATCATCAGCAAGCAGTTTCACCGGTTTTGGCGAAGCTCCACCAAACATACCCAGCCAAGTCATGGCGCGGAAGACCACCCGATTGCTCAGCAAGGCTTGCATCCGTGGGGCCAGATCGATCTCAGTGCGGATGAGGACACTTCGGCTTGTGGGTGAAGGGTTTCAATTCGAAGCATTGTAAACTTAATTCTGGTTATCATATGTTATCATGGTCTTATCATGGTCATCGATCGTCAACAAAACAATAGTGTTGCTGGTCAGTGAACCAGTGAACCTGATTGATAAGGTGTTTCTGAGCCTCCTGCGATCGATGTAAGTGGGTTTTCTAGCATCCAATGCCCCTGGTGATACATAACGGTCAAGATGATCAAGACTGCCTCAGCATACTATCCAAATTTCCAAGTGTTACTGTAGGTGTGTTTGCGGTTTGAAGCTTATGGCACTCATGTTGGTCATTCTGTACCAAAAGTATTGAGGGCTGCACTCGAACCACCATCAAATTGGATGATTTCACGCTCGGAAGCCACCTAAAGAAACTCAAGTCCATTTCTATCACATGCATGTCTTTTCACAAAGAGTCACACTCGCATCGACGTCTGATAAAGCAAAGGCACTCCCGACCAAGAGGATTTTCAGCAGTTCTTCCCGATGTACCGCCTTAGGTGCAAACAAAAACATATACATCCATATGCAGTCTTCTTTTTTCTTCTTTTGTTCAATTGATCAGCTTCTTTCAGGTAAGCAGTGCAGAAACCAAATCAAGATAGCGTCAGTATAATATAGTCATTTTTGGTACTGCCCAATGCAAGGAAAGAATGGCTGCACATGCTACTTGTTCAGAGCTGAGCTTCGATTTACAGTTGTCCAGCTGCTACAGCATACACCCATGGAACATAGCCCTCCACGGGCTATGTGCATAGCTGCATATAGGTGGCGCACAAATCCCAGAGGAGAAAGAATGTCCTTGAGACTGCAACCACTTCAAGCAAGCTAATTAGCTATGGTCAGCGCACATGAAATCAGCATCATGCAGAGCATGTATGGGCTGCAAAGCAGAGTGGTAAAGAGCATGCATCATGCATATATGAGAAGACAAGATACATCTCGAGGGTCTAGGGAAATGTCCAGAGCCACGACAGACTTCCCATGTGCTTTGAAAGCACGTGAAATGCTGCGTTTGCCAGCGAACATGTCGATGCAATCGAAAGGAGTGGCCGGTGGAAGAAATGCCTCACGTGATCTCACGTGCACAGTGTTAGTGATGAGAACTCATGTCAAAGTGCAAATCACACAACAATGTTCTTTTGCCATAAGATGACCATAGTCCCACGTGTTTTGCAAACGGCATGTGCTATATGTTGCAACCCAAAGTCCTGTGACATCAGCTGCAGCAAAACCAGCAAGCGAATGGGAAGGTGGCCAGGTCGACTCTGACCGCTTCCCAACCCACGCGGGATGATCATGCGAGGTGGGATTTTCTTCTCATCGATCTCCCGGTCCATGTTCCTGGTTGATCACTGACTCAAATGATTACATATCAAGCCCACGATGTTCCCATGCTCATGAGTCTGAAACCCCTGCCTCCTGCGAACCATGTGTTCAAAGAGGATGTGCCAAGACCAAAGCGAGCAAGCCAGATCTGAACTTTTTGAGCAGTATACACAAACATGACCGTTTCAGATCTTTTCAACACAGTCAGTCAACCATGAAGCAAGTGTCTATGACCGGAACAGTCCTTAATTGCACGTCTTGCAATGCTTGTATTCTACCCTAGCTGAGGCAATTGACAGGCCGTCTTTTCCAGCAGATCCATCGTGAGTGACGCATGCCAAATGCATCAATTGGCAAGCTTTGCTCTAGGTGCGCCCGAAGGGTTGACAATGATGCGATTTGCATCAAGCTGCCCCTGATACACTTGCAAAGCCAAAAACCCCAAAAGAAACTACAGACAAGCATGCGCTTACAAACACATGCCTGGCCCCGAGGACTCATGAACTCCGTTCACAACAACTCTCAGCCCTACTTCTCCACAGACGTCTCCACAGCTAGCTTTTTGCGGGCGCTCCTGAAAACACCGCACAGGTCATCCACTTGACCAGTGCTTCGGAACATTGTGGCAGCCATCTGACCAGCCATGCGCCCAAACTCGTCGCTCTGCTTACAATTCTTTCTGTAGGCAGAGCTGTAGACATGGTTCGCTGTGATGTGCTCTGGTGGAGTGCGAAGCGGTCCATGGTGCTCTGGCTTTGGACCCTCAAAAGCTTCCTGCTGCGGACGTCGGGACTTCTTTGGCACCACTGCGGCAGAAGTTGCACTGTCGTACTGTTTGGGCTTGGCTGCTTTGCCCTTTGCTTTGGCCTTTGGTCCAGGGGTCTTCCCCTTGCCCTTGGCTCGTACCCTCTTCTTGCCTTTTTTTGGCTTTCTTGCCGGCAGCTTTGCCACGTGATTGCTTCTTGGGCCGCCGCCCCCCGGGTCTTTCCGACATCTGCCCCTTGACCTGCATAGAGTGGCGGGTCCTCATTGCTAGCCAACTCGGAAAGGCTGGCCACAAAGGCAGGCTCACTGGGCAAATCATACTTGCCTGGTGCCTTCTCGAGCTGCTTGCCAGCCACCGGCTTCACATCAGAAGGGGCTTCAGAAGCTGCAGGTTCACTCAATGGGACAGCTTCCACATCCACAGCACTAAATTGCTTTGACCTCTTCAGCCTCTCTCGAGAAGCAGGAATCACTTCAGCTGGTTGAGCCTTTTCACCAGACTCCTTCAAAGGCAGCTTCCGCTTGAGAGACGATGAGATATCCACATCACCAACCGGATCAGGAGCACCACTGCTTGCCTCTGACGGCAAAGGAGCTGGTTGGACTTCTGGACAGTTGGGCTCAGTCATTCCAAGAATTGAGGGCTCCTTTCGAATTGCAAGTGCCAATGGAACATGGGGCAATCCGTGATAGCCCTGATCACTAGAAGTTAGACCAACATCAGGAACACAAAGCATTACATAGCATGCAAGTAAGCTAAACTCTAAAGCAAGATTAGACACATGGTGCTCGAATCTGATGC